AGTTTTAGAAGCTGACGTTTCGAGCGTTAGCCCTTCGTCAGACCGAAGGGAGTTTTAGAAGCTGACGTTTCGAGCGTTAGCCCTTCGTCAGAGCGAAGAGAGTTTTAGAAGCTGACGCTTCGAGCGTTAGCCCTTCGTCAGAGCGAAGGGAGTTTTAGAAGATGACGTTTCGAGAGTTAGCCCTTCGTCCGCGAGAGCGAAGGGAGTTTTAGAAGTTGACGTTTCGAGCGTTAGCCCTTCGCCAGACCGAATGTTACATCAATTTACATTAACTCAGTTGATAAAACCTCAATTACTTTGTTACTTCCACCGACACAGCACCACAGTTTCTTCAGAAACTTACCCCATTTATTCATTTTTCCTTCTCCTGATGGCTGCTGTTGTAACGACTATTGTTTTACGACATGCGCTCTACAGAAATTTCTCTAATTAGAAACTCAAATTAATGTGCAGAGCTGCTTCAACATACAACACACCAAGCACTTTGTTCTTACTTTCCAGCGTGTGGCAGATTAAACTCCACTCTCAAACTGTCTGGACTTTTGAACAAAGTGACACCAGACTTTTCCATTGGCCTGTCATCTGCACCACTTGCACGAGGTAGAACAGCTTCATCTCTCACAAATGACACGAGGTTGGCTGCAGAGAGCTGGGAACGAATGTACTCCTGGTCCTCAACACACTCCACGTGCTTCTTTAAAGCTGCTTGATCTTGGCTTCTGTATGGAAGAGCCTGGGAAACAGTAACACACGGGGAACATTACATGAAGAAAATCTTAAAAAAAAAAAAAGATTCAAACATCATTCTGGGAAAGGTTATTTCTCAAGCTTGCGTAATTCTTAAGTTTCACCTTTTCGATTATTTGTGGAAGGTTTTCAGTGAGGATTCTTTTACAGGCATGTCCTTCGATGCTTCGGCCTCTAGCTGGAAGAGATACTGTGAACCTCAACTGAAAAAGATAATAATCAGGGACCAGTTGTTCAAAGGTTGAAAGCGCTATAACCCAAGGATAAATTTTAATTTGGGTTTCTTTATTCCTTGTTCAATACCTATTTGGGATAATTTTAGCCTATTCTTTTAGAAGCATTCAATCATCAACTTGTACACATAAATAATTCCCCTGAAGTTTCTATTAAGGCTTTCAGATCTGAAATCAGACGTTATACTAACCCTGGGTTATCTTAACCTTGCTTTAACAAACCGGCCATGGGGCCCTTTTCTCGAAAGTCCTGGAAACTTAACGGGCCCGAAGACACTGATGTTAAAAGTCAAAATTTAAAGGATAGGAAAGCAGGTTCTAACACCCAAACCAGTCCTTTTTGTTTCTTTAGCTGATAGTTTTATTGAATCATTTTGAAAACTTTGAAATCCCCATCTTGAATGAAAACAGAACAGCTTTACGGGTCCGGTAAGTTACCGGGACTTTCGAGAAACGGGCCCCAAGCCATCGAGCTTGCCTTCGGTCGTTTTGCCAACACGACAGTTCGCTAACAACCATTTCGTCGACGAGCAAAAAAAGTTCGTTTCGCCGTCCGCTCTTTTTTTCAGCCCTGCAAGATCTTATCAAACCCAATCAAACCCTTGAAATAATTGAGAAGTCAAGAGTCACGGCACTGATAAAATGTTCACAGGTATGTACCTCAACAGTTTCAGGTGTCACGATACAAGAGGTCCTTTCAAGAACGTGTTGACAAGGTCTACAAAAAACACAAAAATAAAATTACACAAATAAAAAACATTATAAACTAGATTTAATGAAAAACTATTCATGGCCTGCATAATTAGATATGTCCTTTCTTCTCTTAGCCTCTCATACTTTGTTTTCTATACATTTCCAGGTGCTGGCAAAGAGAATTTGTTAAGCTATCAAGAGCTTCTTTAGTTGGTGATCATTTCCTTTATTCTCCTGACCTTAATGTTTGATTCAGGGGGGATATTGTAAGGAGTAATTAAATGCTGGTTACTCTTAGGGACTCAGAGGTTAAAAGGGGTGATATGCTTGCAATATAATCGATACAGGGTTCGCACACTTTTTCAGGCCAAAGATTCAAGGACTTTGCAAGGACTTTCCAGGACCCTACATAGAAATTTCAAGGT